AAAATAAATCCATTTGTTCAACTTTAGAAATATTCACGTAGTCTACGTTTTGTTCTTGTTGCGTCAATCAGACCTCGAACACACAAGCTGTCATTTGGACAGAACTGCTCTTATCAAAGGAAACGACCAAAACTGAGAATTACAACTCATACATAAATGTGAAACAAGAGTTGATGAGGTACAGTGGCCTATATTTTAAAAGTCCTGAAATATTTATCATATAGATAAATTAATTGTTACGTCACACATTACCAAGTGTCATTTCTGATTGAACGGTCTTCCTCAAAAAAACAAAAAAAAAAAAAAAAAACATTTAGGGATTTTCTGAAGATTTTTTTGGCCATTCGCTTCCTTCTGTAACAGACTGAACAGAAAACAATCTTTCTTCTAAAGTCAATATCCAGTATGTCATAACATACATTATTCTGTACAAAGTTTCCTTCAAGTCACTTGTTGCTGCTCCTGCAAGAGTCGGAGAGATGGAGCTCTTCTGAAAGCACCATAAAACAGATCTGTGCCTGGAAAAACCCAGAAGAGTCTGTTTGCCGGTGAATTTGAGCATTTCTGGTTTTTCGGAAACCCATCGAAAGTGTATCCGTTCACATTTAGCTGCACCGTCTGCAGGCGTGCATTGCGGGTAATGTTACATCACCACAAATAAGAGTTAATACGGGTAAATAGAGCGCGGCCATGGTGAGAAGTTGTGCACACAGCGGCATGCTGGGTAATAGGTGGGGGGCGTGAAGGAGTGTTTTTGACTAACCATCTTCTGTGCCTGATGGGCATCTTTATCATCTCGAAGACGCTTGTTCATGTCTCTGAATAAAAGAAAGAAAGAGAGAGAAATATTGTTACATTTTTAAAGTTTGTTTTAATTTTTAGTCTATTTTAATTTTAAGTTTACTTTAAGTCTAAATGACACAATTTAAGTTTTATTTACAGTAAGTCTATTTTAAATTTTAAGTCTCAATTAAGGCTAATTTCTGAATTTTACATTTCTTTAAATTTAAGTCTTATCTAAGTCCATTTAAATTTTAAGTCTTATTTAAGTCTATTTTTAATTTAAGTCTAAGGTCTATTAAAATTGACATCTTTTTTAAGTCTATTTAAATTTTAAGTCTAATTTAAGTCTATTTTTATTTTAAGTCTATTTAAATTTAAAGTCTTATTTTGAGTCTATTTTTATTTTAAGTCCATTTAAATTTTAAGTCTTATTCAAGTTTATTTTTATTTTAAGTCTATTTAAATAAGTCTATTTAAATTTTAAGTCTTATTTAAGTCTATTTTTATTTTAAGTCTATTTAAATTAAGTCTTATTTTGAGTCTATTTTTATTTTAAGTCTATTTAAATTTTAAGTCTTATTTAAGTCTATTTTTATTTTAAGTCTATTTAAATTAAGTCTTATTTTGAGTCTATTTAAGTCTATTTTTATTTTAAGTCTATTTAAATTTTAAGTCTTATTTTGAGTCTATTTAAATTAAGTCTTATTTAAGTCTATTTTTAATTTGTCTATTTAAGGTCTACTAAAATTAACATCTTATTTAAGTCTATTTAAATTTTAAGTCTTATTTTGAGTCTATTTTTAATTTGAAGTCTATAATACACTATTTAACTCTTATTTAAGTCCATTTTTAAACTTAGGTCTATTTTTAAGTCTATTCAAATTTTAAGTCTCATTTAAGTCTAGTTTTAATTTAAGTCTATTCAAGGTCTACTAAAATTAACATCTTATTTAAGTCTATTTAAATTTTAAGTCTTATTTTAAGTCTATTTTTAATTTAAAGTCTATAATACACTATTTAACTCTTATTTAAGTCCATTTTTAAACTTAGGTCTATTTTTAAGTCTATTCAAATTTTAAGTCTTATTTAAGTCTAGTTTTAATTTAAGTTTTATTTAAATTGTCAATAGAATGTTTTTCTTTATTGTTGCATAGAAATAGGTTCCCATGGAAAACAAAAGTATTATTCTTTAGTAAATGTATTATTCATTTTGGTAAAAAAAAATAAAAAAAAAATAAATAATAATAATTATTATTATTATAATTATTATTATTACTATTATTATTATTATTGCCACATCATAGTTTGTTATTTACAAAATGAATAATACATTTACTAAATGAATAATACAATTTCATTCATTTAAATAAAATAATAATTTTTATGGTAATTTCAAAAACGCAACTAGTCACAGTACTAATAAAGGCTCAGAGTTATAGATGGTAATTCGAGTTATCGAAAATATGGACTAATGACCGATCAACCATCTCAATCCTGCATCTGTTCCTTTTGTGATCAGATTGGTCAGTTCTTATGGCCTTATCTTTCAGATAAGAATAATACACACATACACACACACACCTATGTTTAAACACTCATCCTGTTATAAACTCAAGGTGTGATCCGGTTAGTCTGGTCAAACTTACCGGAGCAGCTCCAGCTGTCTCACGAGGCTTTCCCGCTCCTTCTGCATGTTTCGGGACACTTTCAGGACTTCTCTGTAGCAGTCAAACATGAAAACAAACGAGCATGTTACATGAGCAGCAAATGTTTGTTTCTCTTTATCACTGTAATAGTACTTTTTATTACTGCAATTAAAGATTCTTTATTGGCATTGATGGTTCCATGATAAAACTGTAGGACGTACATTTGTGTGTTCACACACGCCTGAAGCTCCAGACCAACAAACTAATGAAACTTCTGCCGATCAATTCATGCATCTGATTAGCAGTGCCTGACTTATTTTTTGTCAATTGTTAATTTATGGTTTTATTTTCCATAAAATAAGAAAAGGAACACTCCACTTTTTTTTGGATATAGGTTAATTTTACAGCTGCCCTAGAGTTAAACAGTGGAGCTTTTGAATCCGTTCAGTCATCGCCGAGTCTGACAGGAGCACTTTTAGCTAAGCTTAGCATAAAACATCGGATTAGACCATTAGCATCTTACTCAAATATTTTTAATATGATGCTAAATAATGATGACTTAAATAAGACTTAAATATTAAATAGACTTAAAATAAGATGTAAATTTTAATAGACCTTAGACTTAAATTAAAAATAGACTTAAATAAGACTTAAAGTTAATATACTTAAAATAAGATTTAAAATTTAAATAGACTTAGGTAAGACTAAATGTAAAATTCAGAAATGAGCCTTGAGACTTAAAATTTAAAATAGACTTACTGTAAATAAAACTTAAATTGTCATTTAGACTCAAAATAAACTTGAAATAAACTTTAAAAATGTAACAATATTTCTCTCTATTTCTTTCTTTTATTCAGAGACATGAACAAGCGTCTTCGAGATGATAAAGATGCCCATCAGGCACAGAAGATGGTTAGTCAAAAACACTCCTTCACGCCCCCCACCTTATTACCCAGCATGCCGCTGTGTGCACAATTTCTCAACTAAACTGTGCAGGGCTTCGGCCCTCCAGGACTTGAGTTTGACACCCCTGATGTATGTTATGACATACTGGATATTGACTTTAGAAGAAAGATTGTTTTCTGTTCAGTCTGTTACAGAAGGAATCGAATGGCCAAAAAATCTTCAGAAAATCCCTAAATGTTGCTTTTTTTTTTTTGAAGACCCGGTCATCCCGATTAATGGTCTAATCTAAGTGTTTTGATTGTTTTACCCATTTTAAAGCTTGACTATTGGGTAGTTACATCATGTATTAAGACTGACAGAAAATGAAAAGTTGCTAATTTCTAGGCTGATATGGCTAATAACTATAGCCCAGGTCCGAAGTGGTACTCCTTTTCAGCCCTGGATTTTCAAGCCTTAGACCGGCCCACCTCAGTTCACGATTGACTATATTAAAATAAGATAATTTCCAATTCAATTTCTAATAATACTATCATGTATTTAAGGACACAGCTGCTTTAGAACTTCAAATGTTTTTCATAAATATGAGAACATTAAAGGGTAGCTAAATCTCCAACACTATTCTTTAAAACATCACAATGTCCTTTCCTGCAACATCTGAATATATATTCTGTGCAAAATTCTTTATAGATATCCAGTCCTTTGTAACGGTGGTCACACAAAAAATTAAAATAAAATATGTACACCTATACAAGTAACCTAAACAGTATTATATGTTTTAACACTAAAAATAAAAAATAAAAAAATGAATTACTCAGGTGAGGTTCGAACTCGGGTCTGCGACTCTGTAAAGCAACATGCTGACCACTGGACCACAATGGCGCTGTTAAGCTGATGCGTTTGGAATAAAATATATCTATCTGCAAGACTCTTTTAACCACAGTATTACTTTCTATTGATTGCTTAATCTTTTTCTCCCCTTCTTAGATTTCTGATCAAGTTATGTCCGATTCATTAATGTAGTGAATCATCTGATTGTCATTGAGCAGGTGTAATATTCATTAATATTAATTAATATTCACTAAGGCGAATGCGAATGATAGTTACATCATGATCAACCTGCAGGCTGCATTTTGCTCATGGGGCTGCGAGAAAATAAATAAATAGAGCAGAGCTGCGGCAAAATAATGAATAAAAATAGTGAGGCTATGGTCAAATAAATAAATAAAGGAAAAGTGCGACTGCTGAGAGTGAAAGCAGCTATGGACACCGGCTCTCGCGGCCACAAAATGGACTGGCCCACCGGGAATTCTCCCGGTTACCCTGATTTGCCACTCCGGGCCTGCTGTACACTCATTCCAACATAATAATCAAGAAACGTAATTGTTGTACCATCGCTGCAGCAGGCACAATGTTTTTGAATTATCAAAATTAGCAAGATGCTAATGGTCTAATCTGATTCAATAATTTATGCTAAGCTAAGCTAAAAGTGCTTTCGCCAGATTCAACAAAGGTAAAACTCAACTGTTTACCTCTGGGGGAGCTGTAAAATAAGCTTACTTCCACACAAAAGTGGAATGTAACTTCAAGAACTGCCAAAAACAACATCAATTTCATGTCCTGCTATGGAAAAACTGTACTAGTCTTCACACTGTGGTAGTAAACTCAATGCATTTTACATGCAAGCGCACCTCTCTTTGCCCCTCTGCTGCTGTTTGATGGTGTTCTGCAGTTGTTGTAGTTGACTCAGTGAGTTCTGGAGCTCCTCTCGGCTCTGCTCCAGCTGATCCTGAAGCTGCTGGTTTACGTTCTGCAGTCGCCGGTTCTCCCCGCGAGCATCAGCCTGGTCACTGCTCAGAGAGTTGATTCTGCTCTCCAACTGCACGCGCACATGGGGTCAGACAGACATCATGCTGTTATTTTGCCACTTTTAACAAGATGTAAAATAAGTCTCTGATGTCCCTAGAGTGTGTGTGAAGTTTCAGCTCAAAATACCACACAAATAATGTTTTAACTCTTTGAAATTGACCCTTTTAGGCTTTGATCCTAATTGTGGTGTTTTGGTGACTGTCGCTTTAAATTCAAATGAGATTGTACTCTTTTTCAAAAGAGGGCGGAGCTACAAATTAAAGTGTGTCAGCATAGTGGCAGATTCAAAAACAAGACTAAAGTGCTATGCTAATGAGGGAGAGATGGTCACTGGTGGGCGGGGCTTCCCCCCTCTGATGACACGTACAAAGGGAGAATGTCAATCAAAGTGTGATTTTTGCATAATAGGTCCCCTTTAAATGAATCAAACATGCTGACTAATGAATAATAATGAGATTGTACCTCTCTCTGTTTGGTAAGCGTGAACTCCAGCTCTTGTTCTCGAGTCCTCAGCTCCTGCAGTAGCTGCTCTTTCTTGTCTCCTTGCCTCATACTGTCCTTCATCACAGAACAGATGGACACCATCCACCACCATCAGCATCACGTCACCATTGTAAACGTCATTATTATTTAGCATCATATTAAAACCATCACCATCATCATCATAATAATTAGCATCACCACTATTGGTATTATAATCATAACACTATTACTATCCTCAGCATTCCCACTATAATCTATATGTGGTTGCTTGGGTGTTGCCAAGCAGTCAGTAACGCATGTGTGGCTGACTATTTTCAAAAAGCTCTAATTAGATGATTAATTGATTCAAGCTGATATTATGCAGCACCAAAACATCGTCCCTAGCTAGCTGTTGTGATGTCAATATTGGTGTCAAGAGGCTGTAGTGGCGTCAATATTGGTGTCAATAGGCTGTTGTGATGTCAATATTGGTGTCAAGAGGCTGTTGTGGCGTCAATATTGATGTCAATAGGCTGTTGTGATGTCAATATTGGTGTCAAGAGGCTGTTGTGGCGTCTATTTTGATGTCAATAGGCTGTTGTGGCGTCAATATTTGCGTCAAGAGGCTGTTGTGATGTCAATATTGGCGTCAATAGGCTGTAGTGGCGTCAATATTGATGTCAAGAGGCTGTTGTGATGTCAATATTAGTGTCAAGAGGCTGTAGTGGCATCAATATTGGTGTCAAGAGGCTGTTGTGGCGTCAATATTGGCGTCAAGAGGCTGTTGTGATGTCAATATTGTGTCAAGAGGCTGTAGTGGCATCAATATTGGTGTCAAGAGGCTGTTGTGGCGTCAATATTGGTGTCAAGAGGCTGTTGTGGCGTCAATATTGGCGTCAAGAGGCTGTTGTGATGTCAATATTGTGTCAAGAGGCTGTTGTGGCGTCAATATTGGTGTCAAGAGGCTGTTGTGGCGTCAATATTGGTGTCAAGAGGCTGTTGTGGCGTCAATATTGGTGTCAAGAGGCTGTTGTGGCGTCAATATTGGTGTCAAGAGGCTGTTGTGGTGTCAATATTGGTGTCAAGAGGCTGTTGTGGCGTCAATATTGGTGTCAAGAGGCTGTTGTGGCGTCAATATTTGCGTCAAGAGGCTGTTGTGATGTCAATATTGGCGTCAATAGGCTGTAGTGGCGTCAATATTGATGTCAAGAGGCTGTTGTGATGTCAATATTAGTGTCAAGAGGCTGTAGTGGCATCAATATTGGTGTCAAGAGGCTGTTGTGGCGTCAATATTGGCGTCAAGAGGCTGTTGTGATGTCAATATTGTGTCAAGAGGCTGTTGTGGCGTCAATATTGTGTCAAGAGGCTGTTGTGATGTCAATATTAGTGTCAAGAGGCTGTAGTGGCGTCAATATTGGTGTCAAGAGGCTGTTGTGGCGTCAATATTGGTGTCAAGAGGCTGTTGTGGCGTCAATATTGGTGTCAAGAGGCTGTTGTGGCGTCAATATTGGTGTCAAGAGGCTGTTGTGGCGTCAATATTGGTGTCAAGAGGCTGTTGTGGCGTCAATATTGGCGTCAAGAGGCTGTTGTGGCGTCAATATTGGCGTCAAGAGGCTGTTGTGGCGTCAATATTGGCGTCAAGAGGCTGTTGTGATGTCAATATTGGTGTCAAGAGGCTGTAGTGGCGTCAATATTGGTGTCAAGAGGCTGTTGTGGCGTCAATATTGGTGTCAAGAGGCTGTTGTGGCGTCAATATTGGCGTCAAGAGGCTGTTGTGGCGTCAATATTGCCGTCAAGAGGCTGTTGTGATGTCAATATTGGTGTCAAGAGGCTGTTGTGGCGTCAATATTGGTGTCAAGAGGCTGTTGTGATGTCAATATTGGTGTCAAGAGGCTGTTGTGGCGTAAATATTGGTGTCAAGAGGCTGTTGTGATTTCAATATTGGTGTCAAGAGGCTGTTGTGGCGTCAATATTGCCGTCAAGAGGCTGTTGTGGCGTCAATATTGCCGTCAAGAGGCTGTTGTGATGTCAATATTGGTGTCAAGAGGCTGTTGTGGCGTCAATATTGGTGTCAAGAGGCTGTTGTGATGTCAATATTGGTGTCAAGAGGCTGTTGTGATGTCAATATTGGTGTCAAGAGGCTGTTGTGATGTCAATATTGGTGTCAAGAGGCTGTTGTGGTGTCAATATTGGTGTAAAGAGGCTGTTATGGTGTCAATATTGGTGTCAAAAGGCTGTTGTGTACATCATGATTTTATTTAAAATTCACTATAATGTGCGATTAAAATATTTTGAATTTAAATGAGTTGCGGCTTAGACCCAGAAACAGTATTTTATGCATCACAACACAAGCGGAGGGCTGCACCAGCACAAAGATATTATTAAGAATAACTAACTAAACATCAACAAGATGCTAATGGTCTAATCTGATTCATAGTTCCGGGCCTCGACCCACCAATCTTCTTGCTGTGAGGCGCCAGTGCTACCCCCTGATCCACCATGCCCCCTTACCTTGAAAATGTATGTCCCATTCCCAGTGTGTGTGTTTGTTTGTTTCCCAGAGCTTGTCTTCTCTCCCTCTCTTCTTTTAACTGACTCTCCAT